ATAAAAATGTGGAAGGTGAGGGGAGCTTACGCGAGTGGAGGAAATGAGAAGGGCGGCGGCGAGGACGGCGAGGAGAAAGGCGGCGGAGGGAACTGCGACGGAGCCTTTACGGAGCGGCGGCGGACGCCAGATGGGCCGGCGGGAGAGAGGAGCAGATGGTGGCAAAATTGAAGTTGAAAACCTCTGCATTTGGAGTTCAAAATCTGAAGAAATTTTGGAAACCAATTTTGGGGAAAATTTTGTGGGGGAGTAGGTGATTGTCGCCGTCGGGATAAAAAGGGAAAGAAAATTGAAAGAAAAAACAAAATTGTAAGAAAAAGTTCGTGAAAAGTGTTGACCTACGGCGAGAATTTTCTTTACGCGCCGCACACAGAGAAAAAAACAAGTGCATTTTCTCAGTCCCGATCCCCTACTTTCTCTTCTCCTTTATTTTATTTTGACTCCTGTATTATATTCTTAAAAAAGTGATTATTTTAGTTTTTATTTAATTTAAGTTTAACAGAAACTCTCGTATACATTTTGTTTCAACCCTTGCTTTGGTCGGGTTAAATTTTACATTGTATTTATTATAAATTTTACATCACTCTTTATTAAAAATATATGTATTAATTAGTTAAACTAAGTTTATATTAACCTAATAAATATTGATTTAATATGTAATTGAAATCAATAATTTAAGTTTAGATTGACCTATTAAATGTTGATTTAATATATAATTGAAATCAATAATTTAAATATTGATGTCAACATTTCAATTTTATGGATATCAATAACTTACGTATATTCTTTTATTTATAAAAACTATTTTAATTATTAATGAAGTTATTTTTACTTCCTAAATATGCCATAGATCCTATTACTAATATTTATATCATATCAGTGACTAATTGATAAACTTCTTTTCTTTTCATTTTTTAAAAATGTTTCATGGATATCTATATGAAATTGGAGGGAAGCGTGCTCGTGGGAGAAAATTGTTACTCCAGGACTAATACATACACGTATGGAAGAACTACCAGTAATCAGATATTACCAAAAACGATACCAATACCAGAGCTTTCAATATATGAATCTATTGACATGTTGATAGATATTTTAATCTTACTAATTTTTAGGGGGAGAAAACGATATGTCGAGAAAATTTGACCGTTGGCTACCTAAAAATATAATAAATTGGGCTGGGATCTGAAGGCACTGATCATGGGCCGGTTAGTTGTGTTTCATATACTTATAGGGCTAGGCCCAATTTGTCTTCGTAATATGACACCTTTTAGTTAAATGGCTTTTAAGTAAATAACTAGTCCAATTGGAGCTCCGAATTAAAAAAAAAAAAAAAAAAAATCTAAACTATTAACAATTTACACTTTTATTTAGAAATGGTTCTATTTAGTACAGAATCCATAAGAAAATTACCAAGTTATGTATTGGAACATATATTTATTAAACAAATGAATACAAAATTGAAAATGTAAAAAACTAAAAATTTGGGTAGTTTCCATTCAAAACCACATCCAAATCGCACCCACAATAAATCAAATCCCTAAATTAACGGTTCGATTTTCAAATTCACATGTTAGTCCCAAAGAAGGAAGGTGTGTTTTACACGTGTTGAAGTCAAATTGAAATGTCTTTGGGCTCCTGGGCTTGGGCCTTATTTTTTAATAGTTGCTGTAATGTTGTTTAATAAATAAATAAAACCTACGTAAGGAATAAAGCGAAAAGGCAGTGGACTCTCCCAGAAATGAATTCCTTTTTATAATTTTCCCTCGCTCTCAAATACACAATGGATGTAGGCTTTAAAAATCCTCTTGCGTCCATCTTCTCTCTCTATTTTCTCTGATTCATCTGCATTCAAGAAAAGACAAACAAGATTATTCCATAACAGAAGGGATGACGGCTGAGAGTGTGGAAGAGAAAAGGCATATGTTTAGTATATATTATATAACCTTTCTAAAGGACGTATGTTTATCCGTCGATATTATGTAAAAAGGACACGTAAAAGAAAAATATATGCAGAAAAATTAACAACAATAAATTTGGAAATATAAAATCTTTAATACATAAAGGAAGAATATTGTGTTTAATTACGGGGAGGTTGATTAAAAAAAAGGGAGGAAAAGATAGAATGGACCCCACGTGAGATATATTGAATTGAAAAAATGTGAACAAATCATATTTGCTCCATGGTTTCCAAATATGAAAGATTTTGAAATAAAAACAAAAATTCGAGTAAATCAAATAGTATTAATGGAGGGCAACCTGAGAATAAACAAAAATAAATTCAAACCTTGAAATTCAAAATTTAAAATATTGAAAAGAAAAGTACTTTGTTAAATATAGTGTAGAATTTGATCCACGAAGGACCATTCCTATATTATTTAAATTTCATTTTGTTGCTGAACTTTTATTTTTATTTCATTTTGATGCAGGAAATAATTATTTATCTATAAGGAAATGGATGTGACATAAGCCAGCAGAGGCTACACCCAAACAAAAAGCATACACGTGCATGTCTTATAAATTTTAATTATCCAATTCTTTATACGTTAATAAAACTTTACCAATGGCTAAAAAGTGGGGTTGCCAATTAGTTATTGACCCATTACTTATATTTGGTGGAAAAAAGGAAAACCAAATTGTTGAGATATATATAAAATAAAAAAGAATATTGGAAATTGACACATCACAAATAAGAAGGGCTGAATCAGCATATAGTAGTGGCCAAGAATTCCAAGAAAAAAGGGTAAGTGGGAGTTGATGTCAATGAACATGAACCCAATTAATCATAATTCTAACTTTTATCTATAAAAAAAATTAAAAAAATGTTCATAATTCTAACTTTAAATTGTCACCTTTTTACTCATCACTTTCATTCATCTTCTCTTATTATATAATATTCCCCATTCACCTTTTAAATCAAACAAACAACCATATACCCATTACATTCAATTTAGGCATATATAAAACAATCCAAGTTTATCATCATTTTGATTGGGATATTCTATTTATAACATCTGTTTTCATGTCAACATCTAGTTTTAATCTATGATTTCTCTTTGTTAATTTTCTTTTTATATATATAGACTTTGAACTTTTTTTCGGCACATGTTTTATCTAGCTATATGTGTTGCTTCACTAGTAATTTTTTGGATGAGATGTTTATAGCAATCGAGGAGAGATGATTCATGTTGATGTAGGATTTGGATCAGAGATGCAGTGTTAGAAGTTTCGATGAATATTTGCACACACCAGAGATTTGAACACTAGTATGGTACTAACCCCATCACACTTCTTCAATGCCTAAGTCACATAAAAAGTCCAATGAAAAGTAGAAAAAAGTAGGATTGTGTAGAACATACCTAGTGCACAAGTCTCTCCTCCTATTTTTATAGAGGGACTGATTTCCTCCGGTTGGCTTGAGTAGACCACATCGACCAGGTTGGGTTCGGGTTGGTTGAGTCTAGTCTAACCGCCTCAATCGGCTCAGATTAGGTTGAGTTTAGTCAGCTTGAGTCAAGCAATAATTCGACCCTTGTCATTTCTTTGACTTTACTTTAGGGGCACTTAACACAGTAATTTCACCCAATAAAACAGTTGGTAAGGAAACATGGACAAAGAGTGATAGCTCATGTCAGGCTTTCAAGAAAGGAAAAAGTCGAATGAATTGACTGAAAATCAAAAAGAGAAGAATTCTAAAATCGTGTGTTCTCGTTAGATCTAAAACTTCTGAGGAACGCTCTTCGAACAAGAGGACACTATTTTCGTATATGGAAAGAC